CAAGATACCTGTATAAACTCGTGCGGAAATAGACTGAAATTCATCCCCGTCCCCTACATTAATTTCGCCTCTCAAAATTTTTATTACAATACTTTGGGCATATAATCCAATCCATAACATTAAAAACTTAGAAATTAAAAAATAAAAAAATACTCAAAAGTCAACTCTTATTTACTCCCACTCTCTCTCTCTCTCTCTCTCTCTCTCTCTCTCTCTCTCTCTCTCTCTCTCTCTCTCTCCGTCTTTGTGATAAAAAATAAAAACAAAAGTTAAAATCTCTTTCTCGACAATATTAACACATCTTATTTTTGTCTCCCTCTCATATATAAAATTAAAAATAAATTAATTTTTTTTTAAAAAAATAATATTAAAAATTAAAGACCTTCATTTAATATTTATGTTTTAAGCCTCAAATTGACTTAAGTCGCCCCTGTAGCCACCGGCGTCCCTTTCTCTTCTCTCTTCACCAAAACCCTCTCTCTTCACAGCAACACTATTGAAGCACCATCGGAGATATAGTAATCAACCATCGACAATCTTGAAGACTCACCCGGGTATCCCTCCCCCCACCCTCTCTCTCTCTCTCTCTCTCTCTCTGCATATGTCTCCCCTTACCACAATCACCCTTTCCTTCCCTCTCCCCTCTTCCACCGAAACTCATAACAACCCACCAAACATCCTATATATTCAAAGCTAAACTCTTACCTATAGTCAACTAACACCTCCATCCCCTTTCCCCCAGTCCCCACCACTGCCACCTAAACCTTCCTAGCCAACAAACGTCTCCCCACCCACACACCCACACATTGCTACCAAAATCCATCATAGTTACCGAAACACCAAGTGTTTGTATTATTACTTCAATAAGTGGGCCACTATTATCCTTATTTTTTAGCAAACTTACTTTGTTTGCTGTAGCGACCATCTACAGCACGACGACGTAGCTCCAGTGATCAACAGTGACATAACTCCACCCGGACGTTAATCTCCAAAAAAAGTGGTTTATTTGTTTGGGTTTGTTATTTTTTTAATTTTTTACATATTTTTAGGTTATTTACAATATTTTTATGTACGTTCTAGGATATAAGAACCTAAAATTGGTTCAGGCTAAGTGGTCCTTTGTGAACAAGGATGAGTTCATCTATTTTTTTGTATTTGTTTTGTCCAAAAACTGCAAAGAATTTCAAAAGAACCAAGGAGCCCTTTTCATCAAGAGCCAAGCCTTTTATTTTTTTGGCACATTTGGGAATGGTTTGAGTCAAAAGAAAACAAAAATGACAGGAACTACTGTGAGGTGTATGCACGATGTTTAATGAGTTCTCTATACTGCTATTCAATGTTTTTTAGGTTGTAATGTCTATGTTTTTAAATATTATTTCCTCTCTAAAAAATTTCAAATCTTGACTTCAATTTAATGCTTTGTACGCATTCATAAATTTTGCAAGTTAACACTATTCTTGCAGTATACTGAAATTCAACTTGATTTGTTGCCAACTTGATATATTATTTGGCTTGGATTGTAGTTAAAAATAAGCTCATCTTCTTGAAGCGGTAACGATGATTGTTGAAAATATGTGTTTAGGTTTGGAAGTTATAATGTTGGTGGTCTTAGTCATGATAATTAATCTCGAAGGCGTGATGGATGGGTGGTGGTGGGATAAAGTTCTTGGGACAAATTTGTGCGACATAAAATTAACTTAATTGATGAAATTTGCTTTGAATTGAATAGCAAAATTAATTTAAATAGTTGACTTAGTTAGATTTAATTTCAATTTAAGCACAAAATTTGATTAGTTATTAAAATTTAGGCTAAGTTGTAATAATGGTAATGGTAGTATTATGGGTAATAGTTTTGTATAGTTATCAAAATTTAAATGGAGGTCTTTTTATTTTTAGTATTATTTTTAAAAGAAAATAATTTATTTTTAATTTTCTATGTAAGAGAGAGATAAAAGTAGGATGTATTAATATTATCGAGAAAGAGATTTTAACTTTTGTTTTTGTTTTTTACCANAATTTAAGCACAAAATTTGATTAGTTATTAAAATTTAGGCTAAGTTGTAATAATGGTAATGGTAGTATTATGGGTAATAGTTTTGTATAGTTATCAAAATTTAAATGGAGGTCTTTTTATTTTTAGTATTATTTTTAAAAGAAAATAATTTATTTTTAATTTTCTATGTAAGAGAGAGATAAAAGTAGGATGTATTAATATTATCGAGAAAGAGATTTTAACTTTTGTTTTTGTTTTTTACCACAGAGAATGAGGGAGAACATTTAATTTCAACTTTTAAGTTTTTTTTTTTATTTTTTTTACTGGATGGAGAGAGAGATAGAGAGAGAGAGAGAGAGACATAGAGAGAGAGTAAATAAGACTTGACTTTTGAGTATTTTTTTAATTTATATATTTTTAATGTTATGGATTGGATTATATGCCCAAATTNGAATTTTTTTTTTGTACTTTTTTATTTTAGTTAAAATTTAATTTTATTTATGTACACGTCACTACAAGAAAAATCACTTTTAGTCGCTAAATTTAAATTGTAGTTACAAATATTGCCACTGAATGAATATGTTTAGTGGCAAAAAATTATTATTGCCGTTGAAGGTATGATATTAAAATTATTTAATGGCCACAATTATTTGTCACCACTAATTAAAGATATATAATTAATGGTGGAAAAGTATTGTTGTCACTGAAGATATGTCAGTGAATCTAATTATTGACAATTTAAATGTTGCAGCAAAAATATATTACTAATTCATCACTACTTCCAAATATTTATTGACAATAATTTAAATTTAGTCACCAATAATATAAAATTTTAGTGATAAAATTTTTTAATTGCAGCAAATATGCCCTGTTTTTAAGCTGCAATTTTTTTTCTTGCCACTGAATGGGCAAAAATTTATGGATTACCGGTGTTTATAAATAACTTAACAAATTTAACCATTGTTTCACATTCACCTCCCACCATGTCACTTCTTCACACCGTCACTCTCTCGATCGATCGATCTCGATCTCTTAACTTCTTCGTCATCACGATGCCCACTGGTTTGAAGCCTCCTTCAAAAGACACCTCCATCGCCACCACCGCCCTGGTTGTTGAGAAGGCTGAGCTCATTTCAAAAATTGCCGAGAAGAAGATTAAGGTGCCATCATCGTTCTCACTGCTTAGGTTAGTTTATTTTTGTTCTATTTTGTCAAATAGAGTATTCTTGCTATGTTTTGACTGGATTTCGCCCTTTGGATATCCTATATGTTTTCTTTGATTAATCTCAGTTGGATTTACTCATGTTTGGATCTATCGAAGTTCCTATTATTCAGTGCATAATGGAAAATTTTCTAGAAATGTGAGGTAAATTTTCTAGAATTTATATAATACTCATTTATTTGATTGATAAAGCCCATCTACTTCGTTAATTTTAGTGAAGATCTTGTTTGATTCATTGAATTTTGTTAATTTTGGTGTTTTAGTTTGACCTAAGGTTTGTGATTTGGACATCTTTCTTGTATGGGCAATGAAGGCTCTGATCTACTTAGATTGGTTTCTGTTTAATAGGGATGATGACAGTCTCACATCTATTATTTTATTATGAATTTTCAAGTTTTTAGTGAATTGAGAATCTTTTTATCCACAAGATTCTCAATCTTTTTATCAATGGGCAATAGCACTTATTTCTTCTATTTGTTTGTCTTCTCTTATGAGTTTGGTTTTTGATTAACGAGGTCAAGGAACAAGTGAGGGGAAAAGGGCTTTGTACCACTGCAATTATTGCAACAAAGATATAACAGAGAAAACTCATATCAAATGTGCTGTATGTTCTGATTTTGACCTCTGTATCGAGTGCTTCTCTGTTGGTGCTGAGGTGAATCTTCATAAGAGCAATCAACCTATAGGGTTATGGTATGTGACAATCTAGGTTTTAATTTTTTAATACCTTGCCAGTGTATAAATTGTTCTGTTATCTTGTTTTACTTGAAGTTAATCCCACTTCTCTAATATTATTGAAGAAACTTGATACTTGTTTTGTAATTTCAAGTGAATGGAAAAATTAAGGTCAAGTAAAGAAACTTTCCTAATGAAGTACCTCTTCCTTGAGATGGCCAAGAAATATCAGAATGGCAATGGTTGTGGGTGTACATAAGATGTGACTTGGTTTTTAATAATTCTTTTATTCATTTTAATGTTTTAGTCGCAACAATAAGTTGTCACTAAAAGCATGTTTCAAATTTTAGTGATGATTTTAATCGTGGGTAAAATGTATTCTTTTAATTGCAATTAATTGTTGTAACTAAAAGTTAGGTTTTAATTGGACTTTTAGAGGTGATGCAATACATTTTAGTAACAAAATCACGTTGACTTGCTACAATAATTATTGTCGTTAAATATTTCACATTTAGTGACATTTTTCATATTGAGACTAAAAAATTTATTTTTAGTGACAACAATTAAATGTCAATGTCATAACTAAATGAATTAGTCAAACACATATTGCCGCGGCCTAGTGACAATAAAAAAGTTATCACTAAAGTATATAGTGACAATTTTTATATATTTAGCCACAATAATTTTCGCGGCTAAAAGGCAAATTTCTTGTACTGCATGATAATACTTGCACAACTTTTAATTTCCATGAAAGAAAAGAAAGTTGACGTGGGTCGATCCACGTGATTCATACAAAAATTTCTCCAGGAAAAAGAAAAGAATTATCGAATCACTCTGCGTGTTGGTTTCACCTGAAGAATAAAGTAATGTTAATTATACTTTGCCTCCCTAAGTATGAGGTCAGTGTCATTTTATCTCCTCAACTATCACATTTTTGTAATGGAACCTTTAATTATAGTTATTAGTTTCACTTTACCCCAATGAATAATCTATATTAGAATTTTGATGGATAATTGTTTTATTTTGCTCCCTGAACTATGTTATTTTGTTTTATTTTGCTTGACACATCAATATTTTTTGGGAATTATAATGTTTTGGTCTGGTTTTTAGCTACGGCTTGGTAGAGACAGCAGTGGTGCAAGTTCTGGTGGATTACATTTCCGATCTGTTGGGGGGCACAAATCTTCGCATATATGCGGCAATTGTGAACCTAATGGACGGATTGTGCTCGGTTTTGATCATTGTTGTAGCTTACCTGGCAGATACCTGCATAGGTCGTTTCAGAATGGTCTTGCTTTGCACTGCTGCCTATATCGTTGTGGGTGCCGATCCATACATTTTGCCCTATACTATTGTTTTAACCAGAATGGGTTCTCTCTCTCTCTCTCTCTCACACACACACACACGCATTTCTGAATTTTTTTAGTGTGATAACTATTTTAATTTTTTTTCTTTGGTATAATAAAAATTATTCCTATTGCGGGTGATTTATCACATTTGTGAAATTTTTACCATTGTTATGAATGTTTTTGTCATCGTTGTGGTAACTATTTTTATTATTTAATTGTGAAATAACTAAATTAATTGAACATAAAATAAATAACACAAAACTGAATTAAAGAAATTTTAGAGAATGCTTCACGACTCTCTTTCTTTCAAATTTTTTGGCCTTTTTCATTGAATCTGAAGAGTGCCTTTTATAGGCGAAGAGGCAAACTAGGGGAGACTGAAAATTATGCTCTATATTAAATTTTGGAGTAAATTATATTTTATCCCTTAAACTATTATCTTTATTTTACTTAACACCCTTAACTATAAAAGTTTTCATATTATACCTTGAAGTATTAATTTTGTTTTATATCACTCTAATAAATAATGACAGACTTGAAAATTTGGCAAAAGATAGAGGGAAACCCCCAGAGCTTCCCACAAAGTGTCTCGTACTACTTTATTCTATCTCTTTTGCAACCAAATGGTTGCTGTGAAGAAAATGAAGGTTGGCCAGAGGAAGAAAGTTTGAAACTTAGGAAGAAATTACTTATTGGTAATACAAATTACTCACCTGCGTATTTAACAATCGTTATTTATTGGAGTGATATGAAATAAAATTGATATTTTATGGTACAATGTGAGAAAATTTATAATTGAGAGTACAAAGTAAAATAAAAGTAATAGTTTAAAGGGATAAGGTGTAGTTTATCCTAAATTCTATTGCTATTCATTTATGTATAGTAATGTGTGATATTCAATAATATTTGACACTATGTTTCGATAGTTGTACATAGTAGTCATCCACAATAGGCATAGTATTTATAACACATTTTAAATACAGGCCCCATGCACTTCTCACAAAAAAGAATTGTTACGTGGTCCGCAAACCCTTCTTGTAGCCGACCTATAAAATCGGATCACGTATTTTTTTAATATGTCATTGATGTATGTGTATTCTTGAAAATTGACAAAACCTTGAACGCCAGCTGGTTCATTTTTTCAGCTTGTTGAGTCATTGTTGCAGGTGTTGGTGTTATTATTCTTTCCAGGAAATCCTCCATTTGAGAGGCTTTGTGTAGCCGTGATGCTAATAGGAATTGGGCAAGCAGGACGGAAACCATCTTTAAAAGCATTCCTTGCTGATCAATTGAAGAAGAGGGTCCAATGTCTGAGCCAAGCTGATCAAGAAGTGGAAGACCTTATAAGACATTGGTGGCGGTTTTTTCGCTTTTGGGCTGCTGCTGCTGCATTTCTGGTCGCCGGATTTCGTGGTTCTTGGCCGATTAGGCTCACAGTTTCAGCGAGCGTGATGGGAGATACTTTTATATTGCTTTTGTTGGGTATCCACCACTACCATTATATACCACCAACGGGTAGCCCCGCTTTCGCTTTGGCTTATCGACATATTTCGCGAAGTGAAGGGTGTTATATTTAACAAGCATCTCCCCCACCCACCAGCTCATGACTGTGAGATTGTTGAAAATGATCCTGAAGAAAAAACATCGGCAAGTGAAAATCCATTGAACAGGTCCCTCTTCCCATTCTTATTTCTGTGATTTTATTGTTGTTATTTATTGAGTAAAGTAGAGATAACTCGTGACTAAAGACATGGTAAATAATTGATTTGGGAGAGGGGAGGAAAATTCAATAAGAATAGTTTTGAGAGAGATATTGGTGGCCGTTGGATAAATTTATTTAAGTCCGTCAGATGAGCTTATTGAAGTATGTCTTGTTTTATATTATAAAATTAGGGTTAATTGCACTGAAGGTCCCCAAAGTATGAGGTTTGTTTTATTTTATTCTCCAATGTTCCAATTGCATTATTTTAAGCCATGAAATATTAAATATGTTTATATATGGTCTCTCAAGCAGACAACGTCCAAACTGCTAATAATTTTTTATCATAAATTTGTTACGTAATATTAAAATATGGATAAAAAATAATTTTAATAGCTCTTAAGCAAAATTTAGGTAGCTCTTGACAATGCGTAGCTTTTGACCAAAATTTGGATTGTTCATGATTAAAACTATGTAATTTAGTTAACTATTTAACTAAAATTTGAGTAAAAATTTGGTCAAGAGTTATCGAAATTATTTTTTTTTTACATTTAAGTATCACATGACAAGTTTATGATAAAAAAAATTATTAGCAATCTAGACGATGTCTACTTGAGGGATTGGACCATATAGGTTTGTATTCAATACTTCAAAAACCAAAATGATGCAATTGAAATATTAAGGATCAAAATGAGACAAACCGTATACGTAGAGAACCTCAAGTGCAATTAACACTTATAATTATATTAAATTGAGCAAATTTTAAAAAAAAAACCTCTAATATTTGATTTCATTAGACGCACACCCATCACATGTAAGAATTACAGCTAATAATGCAATTGTTAGTTAGTGATGAGGTAAAAACCAGCTTAGTAAATAATGGGAAAAGCTCTAACACAAAGATGCTTATACAAAGGGCTCTGGTGAAAGAGTTGAAGACCTCCACTGTGAAATGGAAGGCAATATACCTAGCTTAGTAATCAACTCCGCACCTTCTAGATGAGCTACGACGAAGGATAAGGTAGGAACACTATAAGTGATGGTGCTCAAAATTACTAAGCCCAAGTGCAGAACAACGGTTGTGTAATGCCAATGGGGGAAGTGTGAATATTTGGGTTAATAAGGAAGTAAGGGATGATGTTGGATTAAAAACAAGATATTAAGTGGTTCACCTTCGCCGAAAAACCAATGGTTACATCCACTACAATGGAGACTCTTGCTCCTTTGTCTATATTGCTTGAAGAAGAAGATTACAATGGGTTTGTTGGGTTATACCCTTTGTACAACATATATGGTGACTGCAATATTTTTTTTGGAACTCCCTTATACAGTGCATCCGTATTCTATTTATACATGTGGGCATCTAGGGTTTTTTGCGATTCCTTCATTTCCTAGCCTGACTCTGTGGTCCCCTCTTCCTTTGTTTTGTAGTGGTGTCTGCCATCCTAACGCAAGTTGTGCCCACGATCCTTAAAACGGTATATGTACAAATATTCCCTTTATTAGGAAGTGCGTGTTCATTAAGGGCTCCAAAAGTTGTCCTCCTGTCCCCTGGACACCTGGCATAATGGGAGATGCTCGGGATCTAGCGAGTATCGAGTTCCTTGTTCTTGGGCTGGTCTCTGCCGAGCTTAATGTGACCGAGCAAGCATATACTGATCTGGCATCAATGAAATCCCTTCCTTGGATTGTGGCCCACCCCTATGCCGGGATGGGCAGGCTACGAATAGGCTGTTTGGGCTACCATCTAACCAGGGGGCCCATTGGGTGTTTTGGGCTTTGGATGGGTAGCCCAGGCCAAAACCTATCATTATCAATAAGTAATTCAAAATAAAAAACGATAAAGACGAATCCTTTTGTAAGAAAGGATAGCTAGCATCATCATATAAAAAGATAAGGGAGTCATCTCTCATCGAGGAGAAGCCTAATCCTCCCAACTAACAGATGAGGGAGTCAAAGATTTCTCCCTCTGAAAGAGTCTTCTCCTCCTAACCAGCTGATAAGGGAGCCTAAAGTTCACTCCCAAGAAGAATTGTATCCTCTTAAATGGCAAATAAGGGAGATTATAGTCCACTCCCGCAAAGATGTTAATCCTCATGCCAATAAAAAGAGCTCGGTGGGGGGAATAAGGGATATTATAGTCCAGAATATTGACTTCAGTATCGGATGATTGACCCCAAGAGCTCCTCCTCCAGTCTCTGACTTCTTTTTTTAGGTAATCGGAGCCAAGCAAGCTAACTTGAGGTTGCTAAAAAATTATAGCAATAGTTTGGTGTCATCTATAAGAAAGGACAAAAAATTCTTTTCATTCTCATAATCTCTTGAAGTTGGAAATTATAAATGGTGACCACTAGGCCAATGGAGGATACTAGAAATAACATTTCCTAGAGAACAACATTCTCAAAAGTAGTTGGAAGAAGTTAATCATGAAAGAGATACCTATAGGTTCAACAAGTGGTAGGAGGCCTACAAAATGCTTATTCTAGAAAGAAATTATGATAGAATGAATCAAACCATAAAGGGTTTGTCCCAGAAAACCCAACAGATTATCTTGATGCTTACTAGCCAACCTCTAGAGTATGTGTCCCATTCTGGGGAAACCCAACGTAATTAGGGGAGAAACACCAAAGATGGGCCAAAAGTTTAGGGAAGTAAATGGTCGCATTTGAAATGTACTCAATACAGTGAAAGCTAGAATCCCTAAAGTAGTGGAAACCCTGGACCAATGCATGGAGTCCACTTTTTTGCATGATGTAACACATTGCCCTTTGCCCCCCAAATTCGAACTACCTATAATAAACAAGTTTGATGGAAAAAAAACACCCTTTGGATCACCCTTATATCATGTGTCGAGCATTTCCCAGTACATTGAAGGGAGTAGTTTGCCTATGTTTCAACAAGCTCCCCTTTTTAGGTTCCATTGACTCATTCATCCGATTGAGTAAAATCTTTCCAATCTCACTTTCATGGGACGATGAGCTCATAAAAAGCCAGAAACTTACATACTAAACTTGAAGAAAGGAATGGGAGAGTCGTTTCATCATTACGTGGCATGTTTCACTAAAGAACCTCTGCAAATCAAAAACATGGATGACAAGGTAACCCTAACTGCCTTCATGGAAGGACTTCATGCCTCTAGGCTCTTTTTTTCATTTTTTTAGGTAAATTAGGCTCTTGTTTTCACTTGAAATAGTTGTGAATGAAAAGGGATACTCAAACTAAGTAGAACCCTGTATATATAGCTAAATAATAGTACAAAGTGACCTAAAAATCCTTGTGGTCTAGGCAAAATATAAAAGTCATAGTAAGTATTAAAAAGGAAAAAGAATAAACTAGAAGAAACCTTAATAAACTAGATTATACTCCAACACTCCTCCTCAAGCTAGGTAAAAAAATATCAACTAAGTCAAGTTTGACAATGGAGTACTGGAGAATGGATAGAGTGACAGGTTTGGTGAAAACATTCGCAACCTGATCATTGGTTCCCACAAACAATAGAGTGATAATACCACAGCTAACCTTCTCTCGAAGAAAGTGAATATCAATCTCAATATGCTTCATCCTCCCATGTAGTACAGAGTCAGAAGCGAACTAAATAGTAGATCGATTATCATAACATAATGTAGATGAAAAAGTCACTGAAAATCCTAACTCACCAAGAATCAATCGTAGCCAGATAATCTCACATGTGCCAAGTGCTATTGCCTGATACTCTGCCTCTCCCGACGAGCGAGAAACAACAGACTACTTCTTGCTCTTTTAAGAGATAATATGAGTCCCTCAAAAGGCACAAAAGTTGGTAGTAGATCGACCGCCACATGCTCCTGCATAATCTGAATCTGAATAACATGTTGGAGAACCTGTCTGAGATCCTGATGCATAGAACAACTTAAGTCCAAGACAAGACTTGAGGTATCGAAGAATATGATAAACTGTATCAAGATAAGGCTGACATAGCCTATGCATGAACTGATTAACTCGGTTGACAGCAAATGAAATGTCTGGCCTAGTATTGGCTAGGTAGATAAGTTTACCTTTCAACCTCTGATAAACAGCCGAATCCCTCAACTCTTCACCTTTAGCAATAAGTTTCAGGTTTGAAATCATGGGCGATGAAGCCAGTTTGCACCCCCAACATCCCAGTATTTGAGAGAAGATCAAGATCATACTTTCTCTGAGAAAGAACAATACTCTTGCTATTACGAGTGACCTTAATCCCATAAAAGTATCGCAGAAATCCAAGGTCGTTCACATCAAAGGCCTTCCTAAGGTCAATTTTGACCTGCGGAGTCCTTGAAACATTATCTCTAGTAATAATAATATCATCAAGATATACTAAAAGGATGACACACTGTCTAGAAGTATTCTGTTGAATGAAGCATGTATGATCAGAATGGCATCTAGTGAATCATAAACGTACAATTACACCACAAAAGCGAGAGAACTGGGCTCGTGGAAACTGTTTCAGTCCATAAAGAGACTTACGCCGTCGACATACCTTTCTAGCATACTCCCCTTACTATGAAAGTCTGATGGTGCATCCACATAAATAATCTCCTCTAAATCACCATGAAGAAATACATTCTTTATATCCAACTGATGAAGAGATCAAGAGTAATCTACATCCAGAGAAATAATCAATCAAACAATAGTCAATTTTATCATGAGTGCAAAAGTAGCACCAAAATCACGACCTGGTACCTGAGTAAAGTCTTTCGCCACAAGCTTAGCCTTGTGACGATCAATAGTACCATCCGCAAGAAACTTCAGGGTGTAAACCCATCGACAACCAATAGGCTCCCCCTTTAAAGGTTAAGAGACAAAATCACATGTATGACTATGCTGAAGAGCGTTCATCTCTGTCTACATGGCAAGATC